GGGGTTCCAGTGCCCCCCAACCCACCCATTTGCAGGCTCCACCATTCAAAACTTCCTCTTGCCGAGATATGATGGTCTCTGCCTTCATGGTGCTTCAGTTTAGTGAGGAAGACAGATGATGGATCAGGAACCAAGGAGAGCTGGGAGGGAGGCCAGGGGAAGCCCTGATCAAGCCTCTAGGAGGAAGTGAGTCAGGGAAGGCTTCCTGGAGGAGGGGACCTCTATGGTCAGTTTTAAAGTGTCAAGGAGGCGTTAGCCAAGTGAAAGGGAAGAGTGATACTGGCAGACTGAAGAGCATACGCAGAGGTTGAGGGTCCAGATGGACAGGGGGGAATGCGTGCATGCATGCGTGCTTGTGTGTGTGTGTGTGTGTGTGTGTGTGTTTAAGTGTGTGGGTGTGTGTGCGTGTGTTGCGCAGAGGGAGAAGAACAAGTCAAATGCAGGGACTGTGTCTCTCCGGGAGCCCTGAAGGCTGTGTTAAGAGGCCACCACTTTCTCCCGAGAACACTGGGGAGCCCCCTGGCCGATCTGAGTTTAAGAAGTGTTGGCACAGCCCGGGCAGCAGGGTGTGAGGCGCTCTGTTCTCCTTCCCCTCTGCCACCAATCCCGCAACTCCAGCCCTCCCCAGCTTGCCGGGCCTCACCTGGGGGCAGCAGACAGCAGACTAGAAGCAGAGAGATGAATGAAGTCCAGCAGGCCCTGGGCAGCGGCCCTGAGGGCATCATGGTGGCCAGCCTGTAGGAGGAAGTTGCCTTAATGAGGCGCTGGGCACCGGAGAGCAGACGGGTCACCCAGGGGAAGGAAGCACAGCCACCGCAGTTAAGAATACAGAAGTCCAGGGGCTACACCTTGCCCAGGCCTAGGGAGGGGCGGGGGACATTGCGCGGCCCCAGGGCTCCAGAGTGGGGGGCTCAGGGAGGTGGAGGGCGCTGGCCAGTCTCCAGGGAGTCTCAGGTCGGGCAGACCTCAGTCACCGCCCCTCCCCACACCCCCAGCCCCCAGATGAACCCACAGGAAGTGCTAATGCAGTCTTCTTCCTTTGCTTTTAGCACAGGAAAGCCTGGAGGGGGAGGGGGTGGAGGTGGTGAGACACCTCCTTCCTGTTGAACTAAGGTGAAGGGGGGCGTGTTCTGTTCCCAGAGAGGAAGTTAACGGGGGATATTCAGACACTTTCCTTGAAGGGATAGTGTGGGATTTCAAGGCAACATTTCAAGGAGGCAACAACAATGGGTGGACTTCTAGGCAGGGCTTCGCGCAGTTAGCGTGAGATCCCAACATTCCTGGGGGGCAAATAAGAGATTTGGGGGGCGATAATGAGGGACCCCTAAGATGAGTGAAGCCATGAAAATGAACACAGCCCACGTTTATTGGGGACTTGTGCTAGGCTCTGTGTTGGCTGCCTGGGTGGCTTTTATAGGGCCCCTTATCTTTGAAGATCTTGTGGGTGGGGTCCCCCGTTCCCTGTGTGCAGTGCTGAGGTAGAGTGTTTGGGGGACAGCTAAATCCTGGGCCACAGTCTGCCAAGGGTGCTACTTGTAACCGGACCCCTGTCCCCCTCCCCACTTGCCCTTCTCCAGGTATCTGGTCTCTTTATCCCAACAGCAGGGACTTGGCGGGGCGGGGAGGGGGGTCAGGTGGGGACTCCCACCTCCATCAGTTCCATCTCTCAGGCCTCTGACCTGCCTCCTGTGCCTCTGACCTGAGCTCCAGAGAGGGACCTCGTTGAAGATCTTGATGGCACTCAGCATTCATCCACTCTCCCCATCCCTAAGGCCACACCCCCTCCTCTCTCACCTGGAGTACCCTCCCCAGTGAGGTCTCTCCTCGCCTGCCCCGCCTCCCCAAAATCCGTTTCGCACATGGTGCCCAGAGAGCACCTAAAACCCAAATCAAAAGTATTTGTAAATAATATATCTGATAAGGTATTAATATCCAGATTATAAAGAATTCCTACAACTCAACAACAAACCCAATTCAAAAATGGGCAAAGGGCCTTCCCTGGTGGCGCAGTGGTTGAGAGTCTGCCTGCTGATGCAGGGGACACGGGCTCGTGTCCTGGTCCGGGAAGATCCCACGTGCCGCGGAGCGGCTGGGCCCGTGAGCCATGCCCGCTGAGCCTGCGCGTCCGGAGCCTGTGCTCTGCAATGGGAGAGGCCACAACAGTGAGAGGCCCACGTACAGCAAAA